CCTTTTATCTGGCACTTCATCGTCTCCATGTCAGCTGTCATTCTCTTTATCAATTCGTCTTGCTCCCTTACACGATCTTCAAGAACCCAAGGATCCATCCCCCTTCTCTGTCTGTTAAGACTTTGAGGAGTTAAGCCTTGTCTCTCTCGTGTGTCTCTCCGTGGATTCCGTCGTTGGGGATCTAATTCTGCCATGAGCGGAACAAAAGGCAGACCTTCGCGTCTCCCACCTCCTTCTGGGGTCTGCCCATCAATAGCAGAATGTGGCAAGTCTTCCTTATGTGCCATTGACATTAATTGAAGCAAAACTCAATCAAAAGGTTTGTTCTCTATGATCTTTTCCACAGACGGCGCCAATTGTATGAGCACGAAATAATCTTCTCGTATAATCCTGTTAACCAAGTTTGCATTTCTCCAAACGTTCTCGCTTTACTACTTGAAAACACAAACGTGAGCTAGCCGGTGGGTCTGTGCCAGAAACCTCTCCGATGCCTAAGTCAACAAGTAGACAATAGACAATAAGTTTTGTGTATTTGAGAATAAGAATTGTGTACATAGGTCCTGTCATGGGCTTTTATAGATTTCACCTTAATTACATCATAGTAGGACTCTAACTCTCCTTATAAGAGTCTTTCTAGGAATCACACTCCCAGTGAAGAGTGTCTATCTTAATAACACTCCACTCGCTATCAACCTAGTGAGATGGTTTGCATAATCCTAGTAGGACTCTACTCTCCTTAGCAGAGTCCTCCTAGGAGTCTCATGCCCAAGGATAATGCTTATCCTTAAAACACACTCATCACTGCAAGCCAAGTAAGATGGCTACACTCTGTTTGGCTGCTAATGCCCAACCGGGATATCCTGCTCTGAACCGCACCAACATACACACCGTGTTTTACTGGGCTACGCATAGCTCGACCTTCTAGCAATAAAACACCATGGCTCTGCTGTGGACTCTCTAGGTAACGTAGTTCAAGATCCAGCAATCACCTTCAATTGGTCTGCAATAGAGTCGACCAAAAACCGAGCCACTTATTGTGGTTATCTCGACCCAATACACAGCCCAACGTGCACAATCCATTTCACCTAGCTCGGCCCAATTGTGGTATACACAAATTGACCTCTTAATTATCCCTCAATTATCCCAATTGTGGTTTAGACAAATTACCCTCTCAATAGTGCAATCTATAAGAATGAATGATATATATATATACATATAGCGAGAGAACAGAGAGGAGAGAGAGAGCGGCAGATCTAAAGGACCGGCTACGGATCTAGATGATGCTTTGGTTTTATGTTCTTTTTCCTCTCTCTTGACAAATTTGCGCTAGTCGGTGGCCTTGGCGGTGGGTTTGATGGCGGTGCTAGACTTCTTGCAACTAGGAGCAAGTTGCCTCTTCAATTTAGCATGAGAACTTTTCACCCTACAAGTACGTATATTTTGGTATTTAATATACAGATAAAAAAAATTATACAATTCATAAATGTAATGAGCACAATTTACCTATTTGTAGTGTTATTTCTGAAGTGCGTAGTACTATCTATCCAAGCTACAACAAATTTTTTATTGTATGGCTCTAACCAATTGATAGTAACATATTTAATAACTTCGGGATACGTACTAAATTCAGTCTTTAGATTTGAAAATTATTGATTGAATTCTATTTTTGTTTTAGCTAATACCAAAACACTCAAACTATGTATGAACTTGTCCCATTTCTCTTTCATCTCAAAACCCTTAATGCATTTTATCAGAACATTCTTACTAATATGTTATCTACAACACCACTGTTAGAGTCATGCTCCGATGTTGATGACCGGTGGTCGGTGATTTGTGGTCAGGTTCAACAGCGGTGTGTCGATTTGCGTTTGTAATAGGCCAAAACCACCATAAACGAAGCTCTGAAGCTCCGACTCATTCTTGGAATGGAGGATGGTGATGACGGTTTTGGGGAAATGACAGTGGTGGTGGTGTTAGAATGAAGAGAGAGAGAACAGAGAAGAGAGATATGGTTTGATTTGGTTTGGTTTAATTTCTGCCATATAACATATATATTTATATATAGGGTAGTTTGGTCATTTTATAGTAACTTGTCCTTATTGACAAAATATTTTGAAGTATGAATTTTTGGACAAATAAAATTTAAATTTGAATTTATGAACCAAGTGTCCAAATAACTTTACTAAATTGGGAAAAAAAATGTAAAAGTTAATAAATAAATGATTTTGTCTTATTTATTATTATTATTGGCCTCCAACTCACAATAAATTGTTTAAGCTTTTTAAATTGACGGCCATTATGAGCTTAAAAACAAGAGATATTTATCAATTAATTCTATTAATTTGATTTATTTACTTATAGATTTTGACTGATAGATTTATCATTATAAATTTATTTATAAAAATAAAAAAAAATGATAAATTTATTAATAAAACTTAATAAATAATAAGTTTGAAAAGTATGTTCTACTGATAATTTACCCTAACAATAAATAATATATGTATCAGAGGATCGATTGAGTCATTTTCAATAGGGGAAAGGCACATGCACATGTGACAAGGAAGGAGGTCAACTGGACCAAAAAAGTCACCCAATGAGAAAAAGAAGACTAGAAGTGATGCATGTGTGAGAAAAAGAAGACTAGAAGTGATGCATTTCACATGCACCAAATTTGAGTTGTTTGAAATTTTATTTATCAAATATAGTTTGTTTTTAATTTATTTCTCATAACTAAGTAAAATACTACTTTAACAAAAATACAAGTAACTTATTATTTCTCTAATATTCTATTGTCTAATAAAAAAAACGACTTTAATTAAATTTAAAATACAACTTCATAAAACAACATGTGTTTTAAAAATAAATTGAACACTGCTTAATATCAAAAAAATAAGATATCAAAGTGTTTTGTAAGAAGAATAGATAATGTCTATTCAAAGGCTATTATTTATATTTATAAAAATACAAAATAACAAATGTGTGAAAAGCATACAAATCTGTATAAAATTGTTACAAAATGTGTAAAAATTACTTTTGAGATTTGTTTTATTTTGTTTTTTTGTTGTTGTTGTTGACATTTTCATTGCCTTATATTGTGCGTGTGTGTGTGTTTTTTAATTATTTGAAGTCAAAGTAAATTTTTTCATTTTAATAACATTAAATATACATAATTAAAATACAAAAAAATATATTAGATAATTGATGAGATATATGTTAACCATATAATATATTTCTTGTATTCTAGGAGCATTAGGGTTTTTGGGTATGACTTATAAGTTGATTTTTTTATTTATTACGAAAAGACGTGTAGAAATAGAGAGATTATGTAACCCAAATTAGGGGGTGTTCATGGATCTATTTGATTCAATTTGACACTAAATTTGGAACTAATCCAATCATGTTCGGTTCCAAATTTTTGAACCCATAATTACACCAATCATGCACTAAAACCAACCTAATTCAATCTCAATGTAGCTCGAGTTGATTCAGGTTGGAACCATTATTCTATTATATTAAAAATAAGTAGATAAATTAAGGGCCAATTACCAATACCCCCTCGAGGTTTGACTAAAACACAAATTCCCCTTGAGGTTTGAGAAATTACATCCCGCCTCCTGAAATTTATATTTGTATAACAAAATGTCCCCTCATTTGTTATGTAAATATAAATCTCAGAAGGGCAATTTGTAATTTTTCAAACCTCAGAGAGAATCCGTATTTTGGTCAAACCTAGAAATTGTGTTGGTAATTTGAAAAAATAAAATTATAAATCATAATCTGTAATAGAGTAATAAGGCGAATAGATGTTAATATAAATAAAATTATATATATGTGTGTGTGTGTGTGTACACAAATAGGTTTAGTACTTGAGTTAGGCAAAATTTGAAAAATGCTTCGTACCACTAATTTAACATCATTAATGTATCATTAATGACATGATATCACTCATTATTAATGTGATAGTTTGGCCTTCATTTTGTTTTGTTTTTTTTTTTCTTTTTATACTTGCCACCTCATTAGTGATGCTTTTAAAACTTCCAATTTAGTGCTCTAAGTCGGATTTGGCAAAATTTAAACAAAAAACTAACTAAATAATGTGCCGGCTCAGTACCAAATCAATACACTAAAAAATTAAATTTAAATCATAATCTTCTCAAAACACCCATTTAAAAAGGTCGGTAAAAAAAATGGTGAATGGGCCGCTGCCATGTGACAGCCCGTGTAGCACGTGCAAGTACCACGTGTGGGTGAAGAAGAGAACGTGTGAGAAAAAATAATGATGCTTTTAAAACTTCCAATTTAGTGCTCTAAGTCGGATTTGGCAAAATTTAAACAAAAAACTAACTAAATAATGTGCCGGCTCAGTACCAAATCAATACACTAAAAAATTAAAATTAAATCATAATCTTCTCAAAACACCCATTTAAAAAGGTCGGTAAAAAAACATGGCGAATGGGCCGCTGCCATGTGACAGCCCGTGTAGCACGTGCAAGTACCACGTGCAAGTACCACGTGCGGGTGAAGAAGAGAACGTGTGAGAAAAAATAAAAATTGAAAATTCTAATTTTAAAAAGAATTCTAATGATATAATTAGAAATAAAATTCATATATAATATGATGTGTATTTATATATATATATATATATATTTTCTTATCACATCATTAATTTTTTTTAAAAGTTTTAAAATTAAAATTTTGAAAAAAAAATTGAGACTGTCACCACCAACACGGTGCCAGCACATCACTTTTACTGTGCACACTTTTGTTTCCATCACCCTCCCTCCTCCACTCCACCACCATTTGTAATTGTATTTAAACCAACCTCTCCCCAAGTTCCGTAATCTTTGCTCATCCGTCCCCTTTTGAAATAAAAAAATGCATAACACTCCCCTCCTCCCTTCCCTACTCTCCTACCACTAACAAATCATTTCTCTTCCTCCCTCTCTATCTGTCTCTCTCTCTCCCACTCTCTCCCATTTTCTCTCCGCCAGAATATCCGGATGGACGTCCGCCGGATACCTCCTAAACCTTCCCTCCCCGAAAACCACCAACACCACCACCGTCTCCACCACAAGAAATCATCATCGTCATTGTCCTCCTCATCCCCAAAAGCCTCTGATGCCTTACCTCTCCCTCTATACCTAACTAACGGCATTTTCTTCACGCTCTTCTTCTCTGTGGCCTACTACCTCCTCCACCGTTGGCGCGATAAGATCCGATCCTCCACCACTCTCCACGTCGTCACTCTCTCCGAACTCGCCGCCATCGCCTCCCTCATCGCTTCCTTCATCTACCTCCTCGGTTTCTTCGGCATTGGTTTCATCCAATCCTTCATCACCCGTGTTTCTCACGACGCCTGGGACATTGACGACGACTGCTTCATCCTCGAAGAAGATCGCCGCCTCCTTCTTTGCTCCTCCTCCGCCGTTGTTGATTGCGCCGTCCCCCCTCCTGTGCCTAAACTGATGGAACCGCCGCCTATGCTTTCGAACGAAGAAATCGTCAAATCGGTGGTTTCTGGTTCGATTCCTTCCTATTCGCTCGAACCAAAACTTGGCGATTGTTACCGTGCAGCGTCGATTCGACGCGAGGCGATGCAGAGGCTCACAGGGAGGTCTCTAGTTGGGTTGTGTAGACGTCCCCGAACGCCCCGATGGAGGACCCCCGTTCTGTTCATTTGGGCTTGCTACAGTTCGGACTCAAATTGTCACGGTTCTTAATCTGAACCAAAGAGTCCAAATCCGGCAAATCGTTTTGAAAAACATATTTTTTAGAAAGAAGTGCCAAACATGGACTGCTTTGCCAGATATAGAGTCGCCACCTAAATGTTTTACTTTTGGGGAAATTTAGGAAACCCTGACTCGTTTGCCTAAGGCCACGTGTCCGTCATCACCAAAGTTGCCTCGGCTCGAGAACTTGGGTACGATTGGGGAAGGTCAGCTATGAGCATCCCCGCTCGCCCGATCAAAGATCGGCCTCTACTAACCATGACATCTAGCTTTGAAAGCATTATGCGTTCTTACCCCGGTTATTAGCCTAGATTTTCTACATGATGCGCACAGCAAACAAGTATAGACTAAGTCGCCTAAATTGGAACGAAACATGTCATGTTTGTTTATTTGAAAATGGTTTGATGGTGCCACCCGCAAGTAGGCTAAGACATGAATTTTGCCACCCTCAAGTGGGCTTAGAAAATATAATTTTGCCACTCTCAAGTGGGCCTAAAACTCGTATTCAATGCGTTGTTCCAATTTAAGTAACTCAACCTTCACCCACAGGCATTCAGGCAGTTATAACACATAAGCACATAGACTCATGGTAAGCATGCTATCATGGCAACACTCACACTCATGCAAGGATGCTAAAACATAAATGCTTACAGAGTACTCCAAGCCAAAACAGAAACTAGTTAGTAATCATATGCATGATCCTAGTTCATGTTAAGATGGCTAATGCAACACATGCAAGATGCAGCTACAATAGGCTCGGCTAATCTATGGATGGCATATGATGATGCTACAACTAACACGTATTCAACTTGGAATTGAAATACAATGCAGTTAGTATGATGCGCTGAGCCCGGTGCATGCAAGACAAATGTATGGATGCACGTATGCATAGCATAAGGTATGCTAAATTAAATATGACCTAATACTAACCATCAAAAGCAGGTAAGTAAAAGGGAGAAAGAAGTGGGGGTTGGAAGACATGCACACACGCACCCACGCTTATTACAAATTCGCCCTCACTCGGAGGGACCAAAAGAATATATAAATTAATTAACCTACAAGCTAATTAATTATTACAGACCACTTAATTAATTAACAAATTAATTAAGCTAAGGAAAGCAGTAAAAGGCCTCGGGAAGAGGGTCCAATGCATGCGTGCTCGGGTTTACTCAGAAATCCGTTGCCATGCACAAGCTGCCTCTGTTTACCCTGCTCTTCTCCTCTGGAGATTGTACAAGTCCCAGGGTACACTCTATGGACACTTTAGAACACCACCGACCAAGGGGAATCATCACCGGCGATGGCAGGATGGTCATCGACCATTTGTTGAGCTCTCGGCTATCCATATTTGGTCAATCGGCACTCCATGCAGTTGACCGGCCACTTTTTCCTGCAGAAACCTGTTTTGACAGCAGCAGAGGGCAAAACATGGCATGACAATGCATTTCAAGCAATGTTTGCACCAACCACACTCCTTATCATGTTTATGACTCAAAGGAGTTTGGTACTCGACCCTCGGACCACCAATCTCGCATTTCAATGCGTGATGGCCAAAGAGGCCGAGTTGTGCATTTTGATTTCAAATGCAATGCACACCAAAACAAACAGGTGGCCCGACCTCTATCACTTGATCAAGAGGCAACGCATGCATGCTCAATGCAATGCAACCTAGGCATGTGAACTAAGCATGCAACATGATGCATGAAGGTAAGCATACAAATATGCAATGTGTACTAGGCACACAACCTTAAGCAAACAAGCATGTGAAGTATGTAACAACTATGCAAGCTAATCAAGCATGCAAAGGGCAACTTAACCATGCAAGCATGCAAGATGCAACATGGACAACATGTTAAGAAACTTAGCAAAGGAATGCATGCCAAATGCACTACCACCTAAGCATGCAACAACGTACCAAAGGGGCCAAGTGTGTGACAACATACAAGGCAAGCATGCCACAACATGCAAACAATGGACTTATACCAATTTGGGCAGCCCTCAACTAGGCCCAAAACAGTAGCCAAATGCCATGGAAATGAGGGCCAAAACATATACAAACATGCATGCATACAAGGTCTAACACTTAATCATATAGAGACAACTTTTAAGCACACTTAAAAGAGGAACATCATAGGCATATGGCATGCATATTAAGCTCTGAAAAACACATGAGGATGGTGCCAAACCAACCTAAACCAAGCAATCAAAGCATGCTAACAAGCCCAAAGCTTGAGACCAACCAAAGGGCTCAAACCATGGCCATGCCAACCAAGCCTCAAAGGGCCAAGGGGACTCCAAACAACCCCAATGCAGGTCTAAACAAGACCAAAGACACACCTAGATGGCATCTAAATGGTCTAAACATGCTAACATGGAGCACAAGACAACAACCTTTTAACACATTAAAGGGGCATCAAATGCAAGCATACAAGCACACCACAAGGACTGAAATGGCATGGCAAGTGGTTCCAAACCACTGAAACAAAGCAAGGATGGCATGCTAGAGGAGTCAATGCTCAAGGCATACAAGGGGGATTACATGGTAGCTATACAAAGCAAAGTATGGATGACCCAAATGACCAAAAATAGGCCTTTAGCATGCTAAAACAAGCATAAAAGCTTCACAAAGTTAGGCCAAAAACATGCTAGACACAAGGCTCAAAGCACAAAGCATGTTAAGTCAATTCACAGCATTACAAGACAAGTATGCAAGCTAAGCATGGTGTGTCTAAACCAACTTAAAACAATAC